CTTGAAAGGGCTTCGCCGCGTGGATAAATACCGGACAATGATTTTCCGTTTGTGCCTTTCAGAGTCGCGATAAAACTGTTCGAGGCCAAGAAATGGAATATTCTACAATGGCCACTGTGTCGCAATCCGAGCGTGCTGTTCACTTCATACGGACAAAAGTGAAGACAAGATTGACCGGTTTGAAATGTTTCCAAGGAAAACGTATGGAAAAATCTTCAATGGCCAGGTCGTTCGCCTGACCTCAAACCATTTGAGCAGGATTTTCATTCAGTGAGGACAAAAGTGAAGTCGGTCACCGGAGCTGACCTCACAGTGAGACCTGAAAAACTCGAGACTTTTTAAAGGCGAAGGAATGGATGACTCGGTCATCTGATCTTAACCTAAACGAGCCTTTTTGTCGCTTACTCAAGACAAAAGTGAAGGCAGCGAGACCTGCCAACCCAAGACTTTCTGAAGGCAAACCCGTGTTATATTCTTCATTGGCTAAATCGCTCACCTAATCAATCGGTATTTCACTTAAGACAAAAGTAAAGCCAGTACGATTCACAAACTCAGGACTTTCCGAAGACAAACAGACGGAATATTCTGCTTTTTACTTAAGATGAAAATAAAGGCAGTAAGACCCACACCATTTTTGAAGGCAAAATAACGGACTATTTTCCTTTTTTCCCCACGCATTCGTTTCTTTTTTTGCCTTGAGTCACGATGAACCCAAGTACAAAAGTGTGCCAACGGGTCATTTTGAAGGCAGCCCGAGATGGAGTCGACCCCTGGGTTCGTTCGCTTCGGTTGCATTCATCATCTCTTGACCGGTTGCCAGGTACGTGCTGTACTGTCCTTTGTGTGTGTGTGTGTGTGTGTGTGTGTGTGTGTCTGACCTGACCAATGTGGACGTTGTGGGAACGGAGCAGCTGCCCCCACACCTGGGCCACATGGAGGCGGAGCAAGGCTGCGCCTGGATGGAGAGATGACAGAATAAGTGAGTGATCATTGGAAGCCAGGCGAAAGCTCTGGCCGGCCGCGGCGGCGCTCGCTGCATCAACATCAGCGCAACAACAAATCGTGCTGCCTTAATAATGCAGCGATCAAGAAGCTGGGAATAACACGGGTGGGCCCTTAAAAAAAAAAAAAACAAACAAAAGAAAGTCATTCCATTCCAAGAAATCATTTTTTTTTTGTGTGTGTGGGAAGACTGCAGCTGTTGGTCCGCCACAATTTTATCCTGCGTTTTGGCAAAAGATCTAAAGTGGTACGGATGGGTCGTTAGCGGCCCGGTGATGGGGCGGGAAACACGTTGACTGCTGTTGCCATGGTTACCGCCCACCGCCATATTCGACCCTCCCGGCTCCCCCGCGCAGTCGCGGGGGG